TAAACTGAGGGAATTGCATCCACCTTTAGGGTTATCTGACGATCAGGAAGCATCTAAAAACCTAAATCTTAATAATCATTAAGTAGAAGGGAGGTGATGTGTTGTGAAAGAGCCCAGCGAGGTGCCTACGCTTGGTGGGAACCATCAAGTGCAGTTGGCCAACGTGTCGCTCCTGAGTGCTCACACCCTTGATCTCTCTACCTCGGATATCACATGTGCTGGGCAATACCCCACTTAGCCTCCCCTAGAGTCTCCACAGAGCTTGCCTCGGTGGTGGCAATGGTGATCCTGTATTATTGCAATTTTGTATCAAGTATCAATGTACTTTTGATTTCTCCTCTAAACTTCTATATCTTTAAAAGAAGTCACATTTTCTTCCTGGCTATATTCAATTTTCAGTGCCAGACTTCATGTGTGACAAACTATAGGCATTTGATTAATAAGTGGGTAAATGGAGATGTCTAATTGAGACTTGGGGGTCAAAGACACAAGGAAATAATTTACAGAAGATAGGTACCTGAAGTCGGGTCTGTGAAGGTCATTACTGGGGTGGGGTGTTATAGCAGGCCATGAAAGGGGAGGCTGAGAGGATGCGGCAGACCAGAAGAAAGAGACAAAGCAAAGACAAGATGTGTGAAGACGCAAACACCTGTAGAGAAATCATACAGAATGGGAGGGAATCTCGGGAGTAGTCATAAATGTTAAAACTCACCCAGTCAAGGAACAAGATGATGTAGACAGACTAGACATTGAATTTCGGAATCCATTAATGAGATATTTGGCGACAGACTCAGAAGGCTGACCAAGGCGATGCTGGATCATCATGTCTGTTGAGTTAAGTATGCACTGTTGGTTTGAGACCTCACCAAAGGGAGATAAGGAAGAAAGGAGGGAACTGAGGCTTCCTTTGTGCTATGTAATGTTAATCTCTTCTCTTCTGCATGTGCCATCTTCATGAAGCTTCTCTTGACTCACAATTTTGTAAACAAAATTTTATTCACTACTGCTTCTACTCTTTGTGGTTTTATATCACAGCAACCCTATTTTTGTATTTTTTTTTTACTCTGTGGAAGCTCATTCATTCATCCATCATCCTTACAGCCTCCCATCAATTTTCCCATACAAGAAATGTTTATTTTGCCACAATTAAGGTCTAGACATGCTACTTTAATACTTGCTTATAGAGTACCAAGATGTCCTTTAGGAGTTTTCTGTCTCGATGCAGTGATTAGAACATACTGGCTGCCTTCTGTGGGGTTTTCTAGTTTCATTTTTGGAAGTTGCAGGCACCTGTTAGTATTTGAGATTTGCTGGTATTGGTCTTCACTCTAAGCATGAATAAGAAGCGATCAGCCTCAAGCTTTTTCAACTCATCAGAAGCCAGGCTCCACTGAGCAATTGTCCCCAAACAGACCAGAGTCCAAAGGAAGCAGGCTGTGTGGTTTAGAAGCCTCCACAAGAGACTTGCCTGCATTATTCATGCCTTGTCATTTGCAGTCAAAGACACAGACTGCCCTCTAACATCTCTGAGGAAGTTCATGATTTATTGACGGTACCAGAAGAAATATAAAGCTAAATAGTAATCGAAGCCCCCTGGGGGGAGTCTTGCTTCCGTATTTTACATAATATTAGAACCTCAGCAAATAGTTTCCTGAGATAAAAACTTGGGCAAACACTCAGCTGGAATGTTTGAAAAGTGAAACCATTCATGTTTTTATGTCAGGAGACTTGAGTCTCATCCAGACTTCTTTTTAGATGTCAAATTTGGAAAAAAAAAACAAACAAAAACCCTCAATACAAAGGGGTAGGAAGTCTGTAGTGCAAGCGATATGACGCAGGCCACACTAACCTCGGTCTTAGAGACTGGGGATGGGTTCGAACTCTTCCTCTGTGACCCTTTCTGTAGCTCATCAGAACAAAGCTTAACACTTTATTTTGTGATTCGTCAGGGATGAAGGAAGGAAATATATCAAGAACAAGTTTTGTTACAGAGAACAGAAAATTCAACGGTAAAAGACTTCAGCTACTGAGTTGGACCTCATTTTCCTCCAATAATGAGAAGTGTGGAAGTCAACATCCCAGGTCTGGCCCATCCACTACACGGTGCTGTCAGTTCCTCTCTGTCTTTCTGTCCCATCATTCTCTGTGTGCAGCCCTTAGCTGAGCTTCCTGTCTGCAAGTCACCTTCCAGTCAGGAATAATGTGTTTGCTGAAGCCTTCCTCTGTAGAGGTTTTACTCTTGCACCGAGAAAGGGACATGCTTCCCATGGCTTCTTCTGGCACCTTCTTGACCACAACATGGCTGCTCCTACCTGGAAGATGACTAAAGAACCCAAGGACGGTAGTGGCTTTTCAGGCCCCGTATTAAAGGTAAAGAAAGTTGGTCTGCGATTAAATGTCTAGTAAGTCACTCTATATTATCTACTGCAACACTCTGAAAAACATCTTGGAATTTCTGAAGGACAGAAACACATAGCACACATAGTGTTAAGTCAGTGAATTAAAGGCACAAATTAATAGCCAAACCCCAACAGTTGTGTTCTGCAAATAACAGTATGTCAATAGGACTTTTCATACTTGATTAAGAAGCATGATGCTTGCTGGGTGTTGGCGGTGCACGCCTTTAATCCCAGCATTTGGAAGGCAGAGGCAGGTAGATGTCTGTGAGTTTAAGGCTAGCCTGGTCTACAGAGCAAATTCTAGGAAAGTCAGAGCTTTGTCTCAAAAAAACCAAGAAAAAGAAGGAGGAGGAGGAGGAGGAGAAGAAGGAGGAGGAGAGGAAGCAGAGGCAGCAGCACTGTGCTGGGGTAGGAGTATCCATAACTCAGTGGCGGAGCGCTTGCCTAGAATGTGTGCAGTCCCATGTCTGACCCCCAGTCCCGAAGGAATAAAAAAAGGATAATATGGCTTCATGATTTGTCTGTCCAGCTGAAATGGGAAGGAGAGAAGAGGGCAGTGGGAAGGGGAGAGAGTGGAAACTCTTGTTTTCCTGAGAATGTGAAATAGCTTCAGTGCCTCCACGTGCTAGACCCTGTCACCGAAGTGCCACTCCCTTTGGGAGCTATAAACTAAGAGAGAGTTGTCCTCAAAGTTGGCTGGAAGCTGTCTGGATGTTCGTGATGACACATGTCATAAAACTAGATCGCCCAGCGTGGTTGCCAAGACAACACGCTGCCCCGGCTCCAAACACTTCTGTACCCCCTGCCTTCCAGTCTGCTGTGCTGCTCTGGCAATGGCTGTGCAGGAGCCTGTGGAAACTAGTTCCACACTCCCCCCTTTCTTCCTCTGGGCGTGTGTGGTGGTGAGCATGCTGTGTGTATACATGCGTGTGGAAGCTATGGCAGGACATTGGCTGGCTTCTTCCATTTCCTTCCGCCTCGCTGCCTTGAGACAGGGTCTCTCACTGATCCAGACACTTGTGATTGCTGCTAATCAACAAATTCAGGGTCCGCCTGTCTCTGAATTCAGATTTAGATCCTTATAGTTTCAGGGGAAGTTCTCTCATGGAGCCACCTCCCCAGCCCTTCACACCCTCCACTTTTGATTAGGGAGTTAATTTACCACATTTCAGGAATCTGATGATTAAAGTACAAGTTTTCTCTGGCACCAACGGCCAGATCCATCCTCCTGCCTCTCCTCTCCAACTGTGAGTCTGGGGACAGAAGGAGTTCTGAGCATCCCTTGAAAATGGGCTTTCAGAGTTGCACAATTGTGTTACGCTTGCTTTATTAAAAAAGAACTTCCAGGGATAGTTCACACACACACACACACACACACACACACACACACACACACGGTTCTCTCTCTCTTCTCTCTCATACACACATACACACACACACACACACAGGGGTTCTCTCTCTCTTTCTTTCTCTCTCTCTCTCTCTCTCTCTCTCTCTCACACACACACACACACACACACACACACACGGGGAGGAGGGGTGTGACAGATGCAGTCATTGGTCAGGGCCAGGAGACAGATTAACAAGGTCCAAGAGGACAAAACATCAGGATTGGTGTCACACTGGGGTGAGCTAGGGAGAAGGGAGAGATCTCGTTAAGACAACCGGCATCCTTGTTTGTTTGTCTGTTTTCCAAAGTCCTGAGACTAATAGATCCAAGAAGATAAACAAAGAGACCTAAAAAGGTTCTAGTTGGGTGAGCAGCTTAAAGTTGACCGCAGCCGTGTCCTGGGGCAGCCTCTCTCTGAGGAAGCAAAGGAAATCAATGTTGTGCAGAAGACATATGATTTAATGTTCCTCATAGTGCTAGGAGGTGTGAACGGCCTGCTGAAGATGAGGCGCAGAGAGGTCGCGCTCTTGACTAGTGCTGCCCAGCTGCTGAAGGGTAGGACAGGTGGGAACCCTGACGTGTTAAGGAGACAGTAACTCCTTAAGCTCTCCTTCAAGATTAACTTTTACCATCCTACCCTCTGGGCATATCTGAAGTCCCCTGACTTGTACTGGAAAGCAATCTCTCAATTACCCTTTGGAGAGAGATAGAAAGAGGGGGGTACCCTTTGTTCCCCAGAGCAAAGGCACATGTTGGCTGCTCCTTCAGGAGAAAGCACTGAATGCTGACCAAAATGGCTGCAGAGTTCAGTAAAGTCGCTTCCCCGTTCCATCTGGAAGCTCTTCAGAGGCATAATTTCATCCCAGTCAAATGTAATTAGGAATTTGATTTGATTAAAAAACAAATCGAAGGAGAGAAATGAGGTTTCTCCCCGTTCCCTCCCTTTCTTCACAAATAGGGCTCTCATTAACAGGGCTTGTGCATGTGACCTTAAGGGTCAGCCTCCCTCTGGCCCTGCTCAGGCATCCTAAAGAACCGAGGTCCCAGGAGGTGAATGGGGGAGAGGCACGCGATTCCTGCAAGAGAATGCTAAGGATTGTTTAAAATTCTGATTTGACTTCAAGATACTAGATAAACACAGCAGCTGTCTGCCTCTGTGGGAATGGGATGTCCACTTAGTTAAAGCAAGGGAAGGCCGTGGGTAAGCAAGTCCCGGGGAAGAAGGCTGGCAAGGCTAGGTGGGCTACCAATCTCCCCAGCGCTTTTGTCAAGAGAAACAGCAGCGGTGAGCAGCGGTGGCAGTGGTGGCCTCCTGAGAGCATGGGTGCCGCAGCCAACTTTGGTGGAAAAGAAGGTAGGAGGAGGGGGAGAGGATCCGTGACACACTGTGTTATTGGCCATGACCCGAATAATCTGCCTCTGACCTACGCCATCTTCCCTCCCTGGCTCTAATGAGAGCTGTGTGGTGAGCTTTGGATAAAGGACAATTCAAAATGAGAACAGGGAGGCCAAACACCGCGGGCTGCGGCTGTCAGTTTCTGCCCAGATGCACCTCTTGTGACTCCCGTTTGTGGGAATGTCCTTCTATTCATCTTTTTTTTTTTTTTTGATTCTGTTCCTTACATTCTCAGAAGAAGCCTTGAGCGCACATGAAAATATCTACCGGGAGCTGGAGAGCAGTACCCAGTGTTCTCATGTGGTCAAAATGATGCAAAAGTTACTAAAAAGAACTGGCTACAAAGAAAGCTCTGGAACTCTTGGCTATCGTAGGGATGGTATTGAATATGGCTGTAGGAGGACTAGGCTGGTCCTGGGAAGTGACCCTCATGTCCATGCTCAACAGCACCTCATGAACCAATGCTGTCCCCACTGTGTCTTCTCTAGAGGATTCCCCTTAGCTTCTCACATGTGTTGGTTCATGGATGCAAAGAGGGGGCTGCATCCAGCATCACATATTTACTCCAAATCGGGGAGAACGGAAGTGGGGGGTTCCGTTTGTATCTGTTTCATCTTACCAGGAAAGCAAACATTGCCCTTCACATCCCAGAAAACTCTTTATTTCCCTGGCCAACATTGTCATGTAGGTACCCGGGAAGTGTCAAGAGACTAAGAATGTAAGGGCTGTGAAATTTGCTAATTTGATGCAAATAGGAAAGACAGTTGAGACAGCTCTCATGTAGGGCCTCCTGTAGCTGCTGTGAACAATGCAGACCTGCTAGCAGGACTAGCGCAGAAAACTAACACTAGGTTAGGTGAGTCAGACAGAAGACATTTGATCTGGCAGTTCGTAATCAGGCTGTGGGGTGTCAGGAAGGCCAAAGGAAGAGGAAAGAAGGAAGGAAGGAAAGAAAGAAGGGAGAGGGGAGAGAGGGAGGGAGGGGAGAGGGAAGAAAAAGGGAGGGAGGGAAGGGAAGGGTGGGAAAGGGAGGAGAGAGAAGGGAAAGAGAGAAAAAAGAGGGGAGGGGAGAGGAAGAGAAGGAAGGCAGGGAAAGAGGGAAGAAGGGAGGGAGGGAAGGGAGGGGAGAGAAGGAAAGGGGAAGGGAGAGAGGGGAGGGGAGAAAGGAAAGATGAATTTATTCAGATATTAGAGACTGTAGGAGATCTACCCCTGAGCTACAACTATAGAGGGAAAAGATAATAACCCCCAATCCAGGCTTTCTGTATCTCTGGACAGTTTATATATATGCTGCCAAGATTCGAGCCGGAAGCCTGTACTGTCAGTGATGAAGACTCTGATGTGACTGCTGTAAAAACTAGTCCCGTAGGTACTAAGCTGCCCAGGTGACCCACAAGCCCAGACTGTTCTTTGTAGCTTCCATGATGCCAGAAGAAGGAAGAGAAGACTGAACCCCTCTTCTTCTGGTTCCCACCACCGTTGGAATCTAACTCTCAGCTTGCTGGGCTGGTATGGGTTTGGATCTGGGAACTGTTTACTGACTTGCTGGCCCTGAACGAGTCATCCTCCAGACAGAACAGAAGGCCAGAGTGGTATGAGACAAATGATGGCCCAGGCTTGGTCCTCTGAGAAGGTTAGAAGAGGTAGGGCTTGATTCCACTGGGCTCGTGAGATGGCACACGTGATGCTTTTGCCCCTGTCTGCACTCTGTCAAGGAGATGGGAAGGTAAGGGACAAGGGAAAGTCAACCTCACACACTAATCCTGTGGGAAATCTAGAAATGCTTATAATTGTATGTCCAGAGAATTACATTCTCGATCTAAGTTTCTTTCAAGTTATCTGTGTTTTAGAAGACGAAGAAATTTGAAGAGCTGGATAGATATTTTTAAAAGCACGTGATATCAAGTTGCAGGTTTGATATTATGTTGAGAGCATTGAAAAAGATAAAGACTTCTACTGAAGATGGGTCAGAACAGAGGCTCCATGTCAGTGATTTAACTCTGTTAAGAGAGTCTCCCAAGTCGATTATTTTTTTTTTTTGGTATACGTGTATATGCCTGTCCGTGTGTGTTCATATGTGTGCAGATACACATGTAGCGAGGTTTGTGTGTACAAATGTATGAAGGACATGGACATCCTCAGGTATTCTCATGTATTCTCATGTATCATGTATCCTCATGATACATCCCTAAGGCTCCATCTACCATCTATTTAAGACAAGGTCTCTCAATATCGTGGAGTTTGCCAGTTAGGATAGGCTGTGCAGCCCGCAAGTCCCAGGATCTAGCTGTCTCTGCCTCCCTAGGACTGGGATTACAAACACATACCACTGTACTTGGCTTTTAAATATGGGATCTGGGGACTGACTCAGATCCTTGTGTTTGCAAGGCAAGCACTTTACCAAACTGAGCCAGCTGCGCAGCCGAAACATCACAATTTTTTAGCAGTGGGTTTATTTAGGTCATTAAAAAGAAGCCACAGCAAGCTTGCTCTGGTCATATTTTGTTCTCTGTGGTCACAGTGACCTGCCAGTTTTAGAGCAAGCCCCTGCACACTGTGGTAGTGGGCAATTGTCCACAAGAGGCATTTGCAAATATTTTGGCTGCAGAACATTAGCTCCTGGGGACCATTCAGAACATCTGGCACGGAGGGCACATCTGGACACCTTTTCTGTATAGGAGTGTGGAGAGAAAGCCCGGGTTTGAGATTTCACCTACATGCAGATTTAAAACGGAGAAGCAGTGTGCAGATGAAGAACCTCAGGTAGGCAAACCCAGAGGCTCCTGGGAGATATCTCTGCCTCTTGGCCTCACTTAAAACCTCACCTGGAAAATTTAAAAGCTCGTGCTCAGAGTCAAAGCAGAAAGCTGCCTGAGACAAGAGCCCAAATTTGGCTGAAACAGGGTCATGAGTTGTTTGGGGACAGAACAGGAAGGGTGGAGCAGTAACTTGTGACATTAACAATGAGCCTTTGTATTTGTGGAGCGGCTCAGGGCCTGTGAGATACTTTTGTATGTTCTTTTCAGTCTCCTGCGCTCCAGCCATCCGCTACTGTGTAGCAAGCTTGCCCAAGGTCAAGGCTTGACCCTGTAGACTGGCGTGTTTCCAAAGCTTGCAGAGGATGCTGGCTGATGGTGTGAGCTCTGCCGGGATGCTGGTCCTGATGTGTGTAGGTGGCCATCCCATGTGGCTTGGGATTCTCAGAACATGGTAGCTAGGGAGGGGGGGGGGAGGGAGAGAGAAAGAGAGAAAGAGAGGGAAGGAAGGAGGTGAGAGAGAGAGAGAGAGAGAGAGAGAGAATATAATTTGTATGTCAGAAAAGAAGGTGAGCCATTTCCTTTCTTGTCTATGACCACAAAATGGGGCAGAGGGGAGAAAAGAGTAGATCATCCTCAAATCCTAAAATGTGCTTTTAGCATTGAGTGCTCCAGGAGTCTCTGGAGCCCTACTTGGCATGAAGAGTCTGTCACCTTAAATATTAGCCCCAGGGAAACCTTAGAGCCCCATCGCAGTGAGCCGGACTTGGGGGACATGCCGTTGTTTCAGGATCCACAGCTAAGTCAGAGATGGAGATAGGTCTGGGTCTGACTTCCTCGAGTCACACATAACCAGCTGCCCCTTTGAAGGGAGTCCTGCCCGCTCCACGTTTTCTGCTCTCCCTCGATAGCCACTGCCCACTTGCTCGAAGCAGTAGAGTGTGGCAAAAGACAGATTAAAAACAAACCGACAAACGAACAAACAAGCCAGCCCTAATGATCCCACCCAACCCTGGAAACCCCTCTGTTGTCAGGAGCCTTCTCTTCGGGAAGGGCAAGGCAGGCAAAGGGTGAACATCTACAAGTGCTATCGATGAGCCCAGTCTGGGTCCTATCTTTTAATGCTCCTAATCAACAGCCCAGGCTTCTCTCTATCAGTGGCCTGATTGCAGCTCATTAAAGGAGTAAGATGGGTACCGCCATTTAGATCCGGAGGCAAGACTTTGTTCAGCTTGTCTCCTACATGGGAGGCGGGGGTGGGCACCCAAGTGTTGGGCACTGGAGCCTGTTAAGTAGCCTGGAGGTGAAGGGAAGACGGAGACTTCTGGCTGTTGGGCTGTCTCTCTGCCCTCAACACGTTCACCTCTCTCCTCTGCTTTCCCTTGGATTTCCTTAAGTTGTCTCTGTCTCCCCTTCCTCTCTCACCCCAATGTCAAGATCTGGTTGTGTCAGCCAGGGAGAGACAGGTTGTATCTTTGGAGAGACAGGGCCTGTGGTTTCTTCATAAAGATAGAAGGAGGTTTATACGGAGGGATAAGCTTCTGCCATGATGGAGGCTTGCGAGTCCGGAGATCTGTTGAGTGAGGCAGCGCACTGGAGACCCAGGACAGCTGTTGTTCAGCTACAGTCAGATGGCAGGAAAGCTTCACCTGAACTCACAAAAAGTCAGCCCTTATACTCTCCCCCCAGACCCTCCATTAGCTTGTCCACCACACTGGGGAGGAATCAGCTTTATTCAATGTTACTCTCATACAGAAACATCTACACACACAGACACAACCAAAAGAATACATGACCAGGTACACGACGGGCTAGTCATTGTTTACAGTCAAATATCACAACAGACACTGCACACTGCTGGGAATGGCCACTGGGTATAGAAAAGTTAACCAGGAAGCACAGAGAGATAACTGTGCTCTGGACTGATTGATGAGACATGAAATGTGAGGCGATGTGGACCTTCTCTTCAATCTTTTATCTTCACCTCCCAATCTCTCATCGCCTTACTTTATATTTTCCTCTCCAGCTTGTTTGTAAACATATCTCCTGGTCCTGGTTTTCACTCCTTGCCTGCTGTGAACGGCTAATTTTGTCCTGTGGGTTCACAGCTCGGGGCTTTTGTATATACTGTTTTCTCTGCCTGGGATACCCCTACCTCCATTCCTATGCCTGAAAATATCTAATTGCCTTTCAAGACTCGGCTGAAATGTTCTTAACTGAGTTAATAACTCAGAAACACGGAGAACTGCTCCTGGTGCTTTTCTTACCTGAATGTTTGACATGACCAGTGGTGGCATTCAGATTTGTATCAACTCACCTATTCGGTCAACTGATGAATATCTTAAGGACATCAAGCACATGCCAAGCCCTGGAGTAGGTGCTGAGGGACAGGAAATGGGATGTTAGAAGTTTTGTTCTTTAAAGATAATAGGTCGGGATGCCCCAAGCGGCCTGCGAGCCAGGCAGAGGCTGCTGCCAGAGCAGTGCAGGTTCCCCGGGCGAGCGGCAGAATCAGGCAGCTGGATGAGGTGGACGGCAGAGTAAATGGACATAAGGCTATACATAAAGCTAAACATTTATTACTTAAAGAAGAGGGAGACATAGAAACATAAAGACAAACATAGAGAAAAACAGAGACACGTGTGCACACGCCAAGAGACAAAAACAAAAGAGAGAGAAGATGGCGACGAGGGAGATCAGAGGTGGCTGGGGAGTGGGCGTGGTTAGCCCTTAAAGGGACCGCAAAGGAATAACATTCCTGGATCCTTTTTATAATAAAAAGTAGAAGGTTAGACATTACAGTTTGAAGGAATTGGGGCGGTGAATTCTCAAGACTGCTTCTGGCTGATTTGTGGGCGTCGTCTTTGGCGGGGGAGGAAGATCCAAGAGAAGGCTGGGTGCTGTTCACATCCTGGCATAGTTGGTCTCTGTTCCTGACAGGTGTCTGTGGCATGGAAATGTCTGGTATCCCTTGTACCTGGTTAGGATGTTGGCAGAACAGAGGACAAAGTTAAATTGAGAAAAAAAAAATTAGGACCAGCGAATTGAGGGGTTATGTATCTGACCTGTTTACGGTGGTTTTTTTTTTTTTTAATTCGGCTCCCTGGAACTCATAAAAACTCCTTGGGTTTGTAAAAACAGAAATATTAGACATATGTATTGTATAATGGATAATGACATATTTTTGTATAATGAAAGGTATTTTTATTTGGTGAAGCAACCTGGCAAAACCTTTCAGCTATCAACCTGTCAGAGATCTTTGAGAAGGATAAGATTTTACTTGAGTTACTGATTAAAAAATGACAAGAGAACTTACTTGGTTGGTACCCAGAGCTACTCTTTTGGGTCCTCCCTGGTTGCTGAAGGTTGCATTTGACCTTTGTTGTTTAGTGCAGAGCCTGTCAGGCTTCAGAAGACCCTGTGGGCTAAGAAATCTGTAGGAAGACAGGCCTACCTTACCCGGGCAGCTAGGCTGTTGATTCCAGTGATTCTGTCCACGTTTAGAGGTCTTCAGTTTAGGTGAAAGGCAGTTTTTGCCCAATGGTCAGCATTTGGCAGTCGAAGCAAACTGCAGATGGACGCTGGTCTGTGACCGTTTGTCTTCTGTCTTTTTGGAGGAAACAAAGTGCTTGCTAGGAGCCAACCTGTCTCTTTTTGTTATGAAAAGTTTTTTTTTAGTAATTAAATACTTAAATATCGCATTCCCCAGATCTCTGAGCAGTTGAGGGCTGTGTATTAGGTATAGCTGCAGTATAGAATCTGTCTGGAAGGTTGGGTTTGAGTTTGACTGTACTGACTCTTAATAGGTAAGATCCACATTTGTAAAAAGACAGAAAGAAAGAAAAAAAACTGTTTGTAACATTAAGATTAGTGGCAGACTTGACAATGGTAGAGAATAGCTTAATATTAAATATAAGAGAGGTAAAAGTACATACCAGTTTAAAATATGAGACTTATGATTTTGTAGTCTGAAACGAGATGCAATGAACAATCATTATACATGGAAAGATTGAACAGGAATTAGGCAAAGTGCACGCTTCTGATGGGCCCTATCAGAAGCGCGTCACTATGCAAAACACCTGTAATCAGAGTTAACGAGAGGATTTCAGTGAACACCGAGGAGGGGGAGAGAGAGGAAAGGCAGGACATACATAAGAATGGAAGAGCTTGGTCACGTGACCTGGCTCTCAGTGAATCTAGCGATAAAGTCACCTGACCCCAATGAACATGGCGGCGGCCACGTGTTGCGGGGGGAAAAGTTACAATTTTTGAGCTGTAAGGATTTTAAGCTTAATAAAGAGTGACCTAAAGGCACGATCTGCCCTGTTGTTGAGCCGCCATGCTGAACCATAAGCCGCAGAGGTGCGAACCATAAGCAAAAGGCTGGAACCGAAAAAACGGCACCATGTCACGGCTGGAATGGAAAAGTCGCAGGAATTTTAAAAGCCTAGGGCTGCCTGCCGTGGGCGGTTGCTATCCAGAGTCTGAATCGTGAAAACCCGCGCAATGAATGCCCAGGACCACGTGAATGAGCGTCCTCAATCCACGGGTGGGGTGTTATGGGCCTAGCTGGATCTGGGCAGGTTATTCAGAAACCAGAGGTCGGGGCCGCTCCGTAGCGGCGGTTATGACGAGAGGAGAGAAAAGGGAAAGAAAAGAAGTGAAAATGAAAAAAGATAAAAAAAAACCGAGGACCCGGTCCCCAGTCGAATGAAAGAAACTGAGGACACGGTCCCCAGACGAATGCACAGCACAGGAAGTATGCAGTGCTAACGCAGGCGGACCAACCCCCGGAGTCGTCCAAGCATGATTCCGGTAAAGGAAAGCAACCGTCTGTAGCAGAACGAGGAGCGACTCACCGATTGAAGCCATCCGGGAAGCCAGTGGTGAGAGTGGAAAAAGAACCCAGTTCAGGATATCCGAGTCATGGCACCAATTTTGTTCTTTAAAAAGATAATAGGTTGGGATGCCCCGAGCGGCCTGCGAGCCAGGCAGAGGCTGCCGCCAGAGCAGTGCAGGTTCCCCGGGCAAGCGGCAGAATCAGGCAGCTGATTGCAGTGGACGGAAGAGTAAATGGACATAAGGCTATAGATAAAGCTAAACATCTATTGTTTAAAGAAGAGGGAGACATGGAGACATAAAGACAAACATAGAGAAAAACAGAGACACGTGTGCACACGCCAAGAGACAAAAACAAAAGAGAGAGAAGATGGCCACGAGGGAGGTCAGAGGTGGCTGGGGAGTGGGCGTGGTTAGCCCTTAAAGGGACCGCAAAGGAGTAACAAGAAGTCTGTGTTTTATGCGGACTAGATCTTGGAATATGTATTTCGAGTGGAGACACACAGAAATCCAAGTAAAAGATAAATACACAAAAGAAAATAAAACTGGGACAACCTTAAAAAAAGACCAGTTAGCACCCAACCCAGAACTCAGCGGAGTGGGCCTCCTGTGGTTGAGAGTTCGGGATGATCAGATGAACACACTTAGCTGAGGCTAGACTGATGACAGATGATCAGATGAACACATTTAGCTAGACCAATGACAAAAAAACAAACAAACAAACAAACAAAAAAAAAAAAACAGGTCCATGAAGATCAGGGGCAGGTCATCCAGGGAGAGTGAATTGCCAGGCAAAGGCCTCAAGTCTAGAAAGAGCTTGGTGAAATGGCACGACGCGATTGGTAATAAAAGATTCGCCAGACTAGCTTAATACAAAATATACAGCTTTAATAAACAGAAGAAAGGAAACTTACAAAAACCAGGGTTCCAGCGATCCAGGAACACAGAGGGCAAAGAGGAGGGGGCAAGCGCACCTGGATCTTTTATTTGTTTTGTGTGGCCCCAGGGGGACACACCCTAAGCAGAATGTGATTGGCTGAAGTTCCCCATCATCTTGGGGCATTTGAGGAGCAGAAGGAAGGCAGGAGGGCTGGAGAGAGCTAGGTGGAGCAAGGCAGGCAGGCACTACACAGAGGGGAAAGCCAGGCTTGGAGCTGCTATCTCAACATCCCTCACGTAATTCTGGCCCTCCTGTGGTGTTGCCTAGCTTGCTTGGAAGCTTCCTGAGGAAGGCTGGAATTTCTACCTCAGAAGTAGAGTAGACTTAGTGCCTGAATGTCGTTCTGGAAAGTTTGCTAAAGACTTACTCAGCCTGTGGCTCATGAGACTACTGTCCCCTTGGGGGTGGGAACCCCATCCATCTCTTCATCCCCACATCATCAGCTCCCATCCCAGGCTGAGACATAGTGGGTACTCCCTAGCATAAGGAAATTTTGCTTTGTTTGGCTCCTTCATGGCATCAGGAAGAAAGAAGGGGCCAGAGCTGTGGACCAGTAAACACTGAACACGGAGTGGATTGTGGTTAGCCCACAGCAAACCGGGCTTAAGCGTCACCTCTTGAGGAGAACATGGCAGATCTGAACAGGAGTGAAGGCTGAGGGCACAGGGGATCGCAAGGTCCCCAGCAGTTACAAGTTATGCACTATACTGTTGCTCTGGCTGCAGAGAGCATTTGTGTGTCTGCTCTTACGACTGTCAAATTATTCTAAGATTAACCCTTTGCACACTTGTGCCTGCCTAGTTTTGGCCCGTTTCAATTATGTGTGCATAAGACTGGTTTCATTCGAAGCAAATGCAGTCTTAGGTTCCTTTGGTGATTTTTTTTTCCCTCTCTTTTCAAATTCTGTACTTATATGAGTGTCTTGTCTTTGCTTCCGTATCAAACTACTTCACTGAAATGTTTCCGAAAAAACAAAACCACAACTTTGGTTTGTTTCACAGATCATTGAAACAACAACAGAAAGGGGGGAAATCTTTAGTCTCTTTTTTAGCCCGGAGGCCCAGCAAATTACAGAAGAATGGTTTGCTGTGGTTTGGGGTTTGTTCTTTGGGTCTCCAGTGGAGGCACAGCTGTTGGAAAATGGTAGGGAGTGAGGAGGTCCCCAGAAAGAGGGGAGGAAAAAGAATTCCGACTGAGAGCAGGCAGGTGGTTTAGCTAGAAGGACCTAGAAGAAGCCGCAGAGAGGGGCAGGCCAGAGAAACAGCCGCCTATAGCTGCTCTTCACACCAGGGCCACAGGGCCAGGAAAACATAAACAACAAACAAACAAAACAATAACCCACGGTTGCCAAGGCTGTAAGCAAGCATAAGTCTGGTGCGGTTTAGGGCTGTATTTTATTTATTGCTCCACGTGTTTTCCAGGATGGCTTCTGGGACCTGTTCGGGGAGCCATCAACTGTGTGTGCACTAAGGCGATGCTGGGTCCCATTGAAGTCAGGCTCTGACATCACCACCGGGCAGGTAAGTGTCCTGAGCATCTGGAGTTCTCCCAAGATTCCCAGGTGGCTCTGAAAGGCAGCCAAGTTTCCAGGCCACTGGGTTTAACGATGTATAAAAATAGAGCACAAAAAGGCAAAATAGAATTAGCGATAAATGAGGAGGATATTAAGACAATAAGGAAATGCAGGCAAGCCAGGGAGCATCAGTTGGGAATGAGGTGGTCCCATTGGGCTTTGAGTTCATATTTTGAATGCGAGTGAGTTTATCAGAAGGGTCCCTTAATGCCAGGTCCTCAGGTGACAAGAAATTCCTCTGTATGTTCTGTGCAAGGAGCTTTTAGGCTGCCAGCTAAAACGTGGGGCATTTCCTTGAGTTATTAATTGGCGTTCAGTTTTTAAATCAATTGCGCGTACAGGATTCACTCAGGGGGCATTTTGACACATGCGCAGATTGAGAAAAGTAAAGTTCCAGATCTCACTCTGCAGTGGAGATGCTGCCTGGTCCTTCACCCAGCTCCTGCCTTGAGTAACCCAAAGCTAGAGAGGGCATGGGGATAGACTGGTGCTTCCTTGTTTGGGGTTCCAAATCTGTCAGTCACACTGTGACACCACCCACAATACTTTACCGAATCTCAGTTCTCTCCCCTCTGAATGGCGCACACAGATGATGACTCTGATTGTGATGATAGTGAGGCTACTGTGACATTGAAAGAGCTGGCGTAGGCAGTGTGAAGAATTTGACGTCATACTAGCAAACGCGGCAAATACTTTTAGCTACTACTAATAGGCTTCTCTCCTGAGGAGACCGAACTCCATTTAGAAAATATAGAATTTTCTAAAAGGCACAGGATAAATAAAATGAAATTTAAATTTGGTACAGTCCTGGGTGGTTGATCGCTCCTGGGTTATTCAGTTAGCATGAGGTTCAGGAAGGTGGCTGACATCTTTACTTAAATAACATCAGGAACAGCCCCCTTCCCTGATTCTGGTGGGCTTGGTGTCTGGGTTGATTTTAGCTGCCCCCACAGTAAATTCACAAGAATCTCTTAAGCAATCTAGTATCCAAGGCCTTCAAGACATCTCTCAGATCTGCTTTATAATTGCCCTGATCATAATGATCCCCCACTCCCTAGGTTTAAGAGCTCCTGTTTAGGGGACTGGAGAGATGTCTCAGCAGTTCAGAGCACTTTCTGTTCTTCAGAGGACAAGAGTTTAGGTCCAGCACAGGTGGCTCACAATTCCTGTGGTTCCAACTTTAGGGATCCTACATCCTCTTTGGGTCCCTAGTGTCTCCCTCTCCCCCTCCCCCTCCCCCTCTCTCACACACACACACCCCAGAGGTTAAAAAAAAGAAGAAGTTCCCCCAAACTGGTTAATTTTAATATCCACCCAGAGATGATGACTAAGAGTCTATTCTATCCAACCTTTATGTTTACAATGTGTGTATAAGTTAAAAATGTTAAAGCCCTCCTGTTAGTCTAAAATCTGTTTCCTTTTGCTTACCTTTGTGTCCAGAGCACTGTGTCAAGTGTCATTCTGCTGCTTCTTACAAATCTCTGTTGTGTTAGTGCGCTCAAGTGATCAGGACGCTGCCACTGACTGGGTGGTTTAAAGTGACACAGTATTTGCTCCGGAAGCCCTGGTGGTAGCTGTGGACTTATGGCTGTTGGTGGAAGGTCCGAGGGAGAGCTGGCTCCATGCTATTCCACCTACTTGGTAGTCACTAGTCATCTTTAATGTTCCTCACCATTTATCTATCTGTCATCATATGATGTTTTGTTTGTTTGTTTGTTTTTGTGGTCCCATGTCTCTGTGTCCAGATTCCCTCTTCTTACAAGGACATTGGTCCTTAGTGAGGAACCATCCTAATTCAGCACGACCCTTCTCTTGATTATGTCTGCAACAGCCCCGTTTTCAATACGGTCACTCACAGGTGCAGGGAGTTAGGAACCGAACCCATTGCTTTGGGCAACACAATTCAACCCAACAACCTTAGCTATTTCTTATGTCTACCCACCGTTTTAGCAGCCCTGGTTTTAAGCTTCTAGTTCCTTCTTTGTTTCAACTCACTGTAGTCTATCTATCTAGCCACAAGCTCGGACAGGTGCTGGAAGAACCCAGTCGCAGGGATAAGCTGGGAGGAGGGGAGGTCTGTCTAGATCCTTTCAGCTCTCCATAGGAATCAGAGAGCAGGCTGGCAGGATGATGCTGGCACCAGGGAGGTCCAGGAGGGGCCAGATGAGGAAGGGACAGAAGCCACAGGTGGCAGCGGAACAGAGCTGAGGGCTTCCCGCAGCTGTTCCGCCACCTGGCTGGACAGCTGTTTCCCCTCTCGGGGAGCGGTGTAAAGCAAGAACTGCCTGACTTACCACAGCACTGAGAAAGTTACAGGATGCCAAAATGCCTGCTCAAATCTGTCAATCCCAGTGAGCAACTGCTTGGGGTGGGGGGTCGGGAACATAGTGTTAGAGAGGTGGAGTCACCAGCCTGGTTGATTACAAAGATTGCTTAATGTAGACAAGTACGGACCCATATGTACCCAGTGTCCATCTCTCCTAGGGATGGCTTAATGCAGGCCCGTTAGCTCTGGGCTACTGTGCACTTTGTACCGAGTGTTTTAAAAAGTGTGAATTTTTTAAAAACAAATATGCATCCGTAGTTGATTTAATGCTCGATAATCCTAACTCTGACCTCCAGTTAAGCCAAACATTTCGAATGATCTTCCCTAGTAAGTTTAAATTTTTTAATCATTAAATCTGTGCAGCTAATCATAATTATTGTCATATTATGAAGTTCATCGATAAAAATTGTGGGAATTTCTTTTTCTGCCTTGTGTGCAATTGTCTACATTAGAGCCCAGTTTTCTCTCTTGAGCAAAAAAGTCCAAGGTTTTCACTATCTTCTCCCTCAGTCTATTTTCTTTTTCTATAGCTGGATGCAAGATACTGGGGGATCTAGAGAAAAGAGGTTTGGGAGATGGAGAAATGGCTCAGTGGTTAAAAGCACTTGCTCTTGCAGGGGACCTAACATCCACATGGCAGCTTGAAACATCCTTAACTCAGGGGAGCCAGTGACTTCTTCTGGCCTCAGTGGGCATGAGAGACATGTATGATGGACATATGTACATGCAGGTAAAACATGCATACACATACAAAAAATAAATCTTTTTATCAAGATCAAAGATGAGGGGTTTATTTGGATCAACAGTTCTGGATACTGAAAAGTTGAAGGCTGATTGGCTTTATCTATTTGAACTCCGGGGAGGGCAGTACTGAGGGACAGTTTGATGGTTGGCATCTGAGCATAACAGGGTGTGTAAGAGAAGGGGAGTGTGAGGAGGAGGATGGAGCCCATGCAAGGGAAGAAAGGAAAATAGTCATTTGCAGAAGAGGCAAACACTTTGGGTGGACTCAGTTTCCTAACAGCCCATTCTCTTGAGAATTGTCTCCTTCTGTGAGACCAACACTGATCTGTCCAAACGCTGGTCACCTAAATCCCTTGCCTATGCTCTAACTGCTGAAGGTGATATGTCTTCAGCTCCCATCCCTCACAAGTGAGCAGGAAGCTTTTGGCAATGTCAGTCAATGGGGATGCAGCCAAACTTCATCTAAACCATAGCAAGCCTGTTAAAGGAAAGGGTTTGTCAGTTCCTAGTCTAGAACATCAACAAACAGGAGAAAAACCTGCAGGGTCTTCAAGACGTGCTTTGAAGACAGAGTAAGGGCTGGGGGAGATGGGTCAGTGGATAGAGTGCTCACCTCTGAGGCATGAGGACCTGAGTTCAGAACCCCACGCAAAACCCAGGCACAGGCTCATGTGCCTGTAATCCTAACAGTGGGGCGGTGTGGTGTAGGAGGTCCTTCTGTCTATGCATTGCTTTCATTGGTTTCATTGGTTGAATAAAGAAAGTGCCTTGGCCTTGATAGGGCAGAACTTAGGTAGGCGGGGAAAGCTTGGTGGAATGCTGGGAGAAGGAAGGCTGAGAGAGAGATGCCATGGATCCGCTGGAGACAGACCCGGTTAGAATCTCCGGTAAGCCACTGCTATGTGATGATACACAGATTAATGGAGATGGTTTAAACTAAGATGTAAGAGTTAGCCAATAAGAAGTTAGAGCTAATGGCCAAGCAGTGTTTTAATTAATACAGTTTCTGTGTGGTTATTTCAGGTGTAAGCTAGCTGGGTGGCCGGGACAAACAAGCAGGTTTTCCTGTTACAGAGGTGGTACAACAGGGTCCCCAGGAGCTGACTGTTGAGCTAGTCTGGCTGAATTTGTGAGGTCCAGGTTCAGCGAGAGACTGTGCCTAAAAACCAAACAAACAAAGTGGAGAGAAAAATGGAAGATACGTAGGATCTGGCCACCATACTTGTGTACACACATACACACACACACACACACACACACACACACACACACACACACACCCTAGCAGAAAAATCTCCGCAAATTGCTGGGTCCCTAGGGCCTCTATTTCAGGAAATCTGGGATGCGTCCCAAGAATCTGCATTGAATGTCCACCAACCCATTAGCAGGCACTGATCTAACAGCATTTCGCTGTGTTTGCAGTCATCAAAGCTGGGCCACTACCCAAGTCTGCTACAGGCCTCACCTCCACCCTCTGATCTTTAGCATGTCATTTACATTTCTGACCCCAAATTTCCTGATTTGCAAAGTGGGGATAATGAAAGTGCCTACCTTAACATGGGTTCTGGCGATTTACATAAAGCCAAGACAGTAAGCTTTGAATCCCTGCTGCTAACAACTTATAATGAATGGCTGTAGACAGGAGACTGGCTGTAGTGAACAGTAAGGCAGGGTGAAGGGTTGTGAGCAGGAAGCTCAGAGTCACCCTTCAGGGGATTTCCAGCAGGAAGTGGGGTGTGAGCCGGGCATGAAAGGGATGGGGAGGCAGGCGAGTGGGACAACACCGGGCCTCGGAGATGGAGCTGCACTGGCATGCCGACTGGGCAGAGAACGCAGACTTCCTGTTTGGTAGGAAGCTCTGCCAAGCAGCAAAGGAA